ATATTCAAGGATAGATTTCGCCTTAATATCAAAGTCTCTGGTCGATTCAGTCGTAGACTGTGAGATTGGTGCCATTGCCATTAGTGATCATGCCACAGTAGAGTTGCAAATTGACTTGAACACAGATAGAACGAAGAGGGGTCGCTGGAGGCTTAACACGATGTTGTTGCAGAACAAAAGTTTTAGTGAGGAGTTAACAAAGGATCTCAAAATTTTTTTCGAAATCAATATGGGTTCCACAGACAAAGTAGCCACAGTCTGGGAAGCATCTAAAGCATATGTAAGAGGAAAGCTGATTGCATACGCATCAAAAGTTAAGAAAAGTGATCTAGAACGGGTAGAAACCTTGGATAAAGAAATACGGGAGTTGGAGAAGGACTTAGCGAGTCAATATTCAAATTATAAATATCAGACTATATGTAAATTAAAGTACCAGTTGAATGACATTTATAACAAAAAGGCAGAATATGCCTTATTTAGGCTCAAAACAAAATTTTATGAAGGTGGCGAAAAGAGTGGAAGACTATTGGCAAGACAACTGAAGCAGCAAGATAATTTGAATAATATATCTATGATTAAGAAGGACGGCCAAGTGATAACCTCATCGAAGGAAATAAATTCAATTTTCCAATCATTTTATCAAGATTTGTATACGTCTGCTGGTGCGCTTGATGAAGGGGAGGTGGAGACATTTTTTTCAGGTCTACAATTACCTACTCTCTCTGGGGAACAGAAAACGAGACTGGATGAGCCTATAACGGAAGAAGAGGTCAGGGCTGCGATCTTATTAATGAAGAATGGGAAATCGCCAGGCTTGGATGGCTTCCCGATTGAGTATTATAAGAAATATATCGATATTTTAGCCCCAGTCCTGCATAAAGTTTACCTTGAGGCATTGGAGATAGGTTCCTTGCCGAGTACGTTTAATGAAGCACTGATCTCCCTTATTCCTAAAAAGGATAGGGATCTGTCGGACCCAGCAAATTACCGGCCTGTAAGCCTTTTGGGCGTTGATTGCAAAATTTTGACGAAGGTTTTGGCCTCCCGCCTGGATCATATATTACCAGATATCATCAATGGTGACCAGGTTGGCTTTATTAAAAATAGGTCCTCCGGTGATAACATTAGAAGACTTCTTCATCTCATGCACAAAAGCGAATCTAACCTAACCCCAGTTGCGGCCTTCTCGCTGGATGCTGAGAAGGCCTTTGATCGGGTGGAATGGGGCTTCCTTATGACGACCCTCGCAAGGTTCGGGTTTGGGCCTGGGTTTTGTAATTGGGTCAAAACTGTATATGCAAGTCCAAGGGCAGCGGTTTTGACAAATGGGTTGGTGTCAGGGTTTTTTCATCTTACTCGCGGGACCCGACAGGGGTGCCCTTTGTCCCCGTTGCTTTTTACAATATTTCTGGAACCGCTGGCCTTGGCTATCCGAGCAAACAGGGGTGTCAGAGGTGTTCATGCAGGGGTATGGAACACAAGTTGTTTCTATATGCTGATGACATCTTAGCAGTATTGACGGATCCCATGCAGTCTCTACCAGCACTACTCACGTGTGTTGAGTCATTTTCAGGGTTGTCAGGTTATAAGATAAACTGGGACAAGTCGGAGGGCATGCCATTGTCAGCATCATGTCATTCTGGATGCGTTACTCCATTCAATTTTAAGTACTCACCTTCAGGTATGAAGTATTTAGGAATATTATTAAAACCCGACTTGGAGGATATTATGCTTTCAAATGTGGAACCTCTCCTCCTAAAGATAAAAACAAATCTGGATAAATGGGGTAAATTGAATCTTACACTATGGGGTAAAATTAATGTGATTAAAATGATGGTGGTCCCACAGTTCAATTATGTTTCCATGATGTTACCTGTACGAATTCCTTTGCACATATTTAGTCAATTTGAGAAGTTATTCAAAGATTTTTTGTGGAATAACAAAAAGCCGAGAGTGAATATAAAGAAAATGTGGGCCTCTAAAGACATTGGGGGAATGGCCCTCCCAAATGTGAAGTTGTATAATTTAGCTTTTGGATTGTCAAGACTGGCCAAATACTGGACAGGATCGGGCTCTGAGCTGAGCTGGATGAAGATCGAACAGGAACTAGCGAGCCCTTTCACACCTTTGGATGTTTTCTCACAGGGCGCGGCACCTAATGGACAAGACTCTCATGATAACCCAGTGCTCAGGTATTCCAAAGCTGTCTGGGTAGAGGTGCACAAGTTGTGTGGAGCATCTCATCTAAGACAACCTTATGCCTCGCTATGGAACAATATTGCTGTACGGATTGGGCGGAAAACTGTGTTCTGGAAGGAATGGCTTGTCAAAGGCATACGCAGGATAAGTGATCTTTACTCAGGGGGAGTGTTTATGTCATTTGCTGAAATAACCCGAAAATACGGTTTGATAAGAGAAAATAATTTTTGGAAATATTTACAAATAAGGGATTGTGTTACCAAAGGAAAATTTGCTCAAAGCTCGAATATGGTGGTGGAGTTTTTAGAATTGTCCAGTACAGCACATAGGGCGGCTGTTTTCTACAAACTGTTTAACAATCCAAAAAAAGAGATATGTGAAAACTTGAGGATTATATGGCAGAGGGATCTGGGTTGTGCAATTTCTAAAGAAGACTGGCGCAGAATTTTGTCATTCTCTGATAAGTATATAAGGGAGGCCAGGGGTAAATTTACTCAGTATAAATTAATACACAGGTGGTACTTGACTCCATCCAAACTTTATAGAATGGGAATTAGTCCCAGTAATGTATGCTGGAAATGTAGTTCAGATCCAGGGACATTTATACATGCTATTTGGGAATGTGGGAAAGTTTATCCCTTTTGGCAAAAAGTGTTGGACAAAATAGGAAGGTGGATTGGTTTGATGATACCCCTGTCACCAAGACTGTGCTTATTAGGGGATCGGTCGGTGTTACCTGGGGTTTCAAAATATGACTTTGTGGTTATAAAGGTGGGGGTGATCGCAGCGGCTCGAGTTATTCTGAGTGTATGGAAGGAACCATCTCCTCCAGAATATAATAGGTGGAAAGAAACTATGCTGAAAATGGTGTCGTATGAAAAACTCTTGGCTAGGATTAATGATGATAGGGAGGGTTTTGACAAATCGTGGGGACGTGTTTTTGGCTGAGATGGTTGGAACTTATTTGGTCAGGGCAATTATCTTTAGTTATGTTGTACGCTTGCTGCACTGTTTGTTTGTGTAGGCACTCAGTAAGGGAATGACTTAAAGATTTGAGTTAACTGTCCTTTTTTTTTTTTTTTGTTTTTATTTTTTACGGGTGTACTGTTAGTTAACAGGTATTGAAAATGGACCCGAAGTATAAAGGTGGATTAGCTATGGGATTGAAAGCTGTCTTTTCTTTTCTTTATTGTTTTTTTTTTTTTTTTTTTTTTTTTTTTTTTTCTTCCCTTCCTGTTGTTGTTTTGTTGGTTGTTTTGTTTGTTTTTTCGTGTTGTGAAATGTTAAAAACAAATAAAGACTTCGATTACAAAAAATAATACAACAGCTTCTTGCCATTTTTTATTTCTTTTTATCGCTGTGTAACTGATTTCAATTGAAAGCCTGCGTGCGCTAGTACCACTTGCCACGAGTTCCCAGAATCCTTTGTGGTTTTACCCCTGAATGACGTCACATTTTCAGTCTCTATCCGGTTGTTCAGTGATGACGTGACAAATCCTGCTTCCGGGCCTAAAGTAGTCTGCGTTTAATATGGCGTTTGTGTTGTTAACATGTTTAATGTTTTGTATTTTCTTCTATTTGATCTCAAAAAGCTCCTAAAACAGTCAGTGATCACTGTTGACCTCCCTCGGCTTTTATTACCACTAATCATTTATTTAAGCTCAGTTTTTAAAACCTTAGGATGTAACTACAGCCCAGCCCATGCAGCAGTATATGAATGACTAACCTCGTATTGTGGATGGATTATCTCAGTTGTTCTCCTGGCTGAAGTTTGGTCCTTTTACAGCATCCTGCCATGCGATTACATTTGTTCCTGACCACCGAGAACACTCACGTTAACTTTTATCGAGTGGGAAAAAAGTTAGCTTGTTTATATTATGCTAACATAGCTGTGTCGCTAGCGGTCACGTAGCACATCATTATATACCAGCTAGCCAAACTTCAGTAACCCTACAAACGTCACTGCTGTTTAGTTTTCTGTCTTCATTTATGCTGGAAGTGATAGCAGAGCTGTACGTTTGAATTTGTTTCCAAAACCCCGCAGTCAGGACATGCTATATTGTATTTAGATAGAAGCTAGCGAGCTAACTCCCTGCTAACTTCTAACTCCCTTAAATGTCATAAATTCCGATTTCATGGATGCCTGGATGTTAAACTCAGTTGTTACACCTGGTAGAGCAGAACGCTGATTATTTTATTAAAGATGAAAGACTTTAGACAGTTTTTCAACTCTCAGTAATGCCACTGTGATCGTTTGATATATGGACCTGCAGCGGAGTTTAGACCCAGACACGGCTAGTGATGTCAGACTGAACAACCGGATTGAGAGGCGGTTTATAATTTCGAGTCAGAGGTCAGTTGGACTCTTTTCATGTTTATTATTCAGTTCAACTGACAAACATCTGTAAAATATGACACAAAGGGACAAATGCCTAAAAATACCTGCTAATGTATTTATAACTGTAAAAAAATCATTTAATAATACTGTAAAATTCAAGACCTTTTCACTCAATCGCTACGGTGTTATCTGCCACGTTTTCTCTGATTGGTCAGAACACCTGACATACACAAATTCCAACGAAACAGATGGAGGTTCTAGAACTTTGCCCCGCCCTGTTTATGTGTAGAATTCCCGCCCTGGTAGCGTCGCTCTGCGGGCGGAACCGTGTGACACAACTGGATTTGACTAACAGTGGCTATAACCAATCAAAGATCGGTATTAAGACGAGCTCCGCCCGTGTTTGCAAACAGTGTTCCGCCCCTCAATAGGAATGACCAACGGGGGCGTTGCTAGTGGGTGGAGCCTGTCTCAGGCTCGACCCAGTTTGAAAGTGAACCAACGGCTCCAGTCGCAGCTTCAACCCCAAACAACAACAAGAACCCGAGACCCGGAGAACCAGACTCGGTCCAGTCCGTTTCACCTGCAGCCGGCCCTCCTGACGAGTGAGTACCCCGATCGGCCTTCCACCGCGGGGCTGCGGTAAAATAGCAGTGTATTTGAGCCGGACATGAGCTGGATGTGCCGGGCATCTTGTTTCTGATGTGGGCATCCAGAGAGAAAAGATCCGGAATAATAGCTGGAAAACGGGAATAAAATGTCCGCTTTGACTGTGGCAGCCTGGCGGTGGTGGGATGTGGTGTCCTTCCTGGTCCTTTGTGTGCTCCCTCTCGGAGGACTGATCCAGACATGTTGTTGTAAACACGAAACGCCCATTTTGGAGTATGAATGCCAGGAAATAGCCTGACCCCGTCTATATAACGCTGACCTCTCCGATGCATAGACGGAGCCCTTCGTTAAAAATGCGCAGTAGACGTAGAGACTGTGTGTTTCCATTGCAGCACCGCCCGTATCAGCATTACCGGCGGTGCTTTGGGATAAATGTGTCCGTGAATCACCGGAGAGCCCCGCGGTGCTCTCTGCAGCCTCTCTACGGGTTTACCGGGACTGCGAGCGACTGTTAGCCGCTGCTAGCAGAGGGGGATGGGGCGGCTAGCTCCGCAGAGGGCGGGAAGCAAATGGTGGTCCATTGTTCTGAGAAGCTAGCGTGGCTAGGCTAACCGCAGCGGCCGCAGATCAGCGCGAGTCCCGGATACTCCCCTCCATCCGCCCCAGCGAGGCTCTCACACCTCCAGCCCGGGGCGTACAGCGGGTACCGGGCTCCGTGGGGAGCTTCCAGCGCGGACATAAGGAGGAGAGGCTGCCGAAGGGCCTCCCTCTGCCCGGCAAAGAAAATGGAGCCCGTCTGCTGCCTTTGTTATTCACAACGAGGCCCAACGGGGAGCTGTTACCGGAGATTTACCGTTAGATACGGGCTCATACCGGCGGAATATAACCGGTTTATGGGTTAAAGTCACAGCGTGAAGAACAGCAGACTCACGGGTTAAAAGGTCATTGCACACAAACGTATTTAAAGCTGAAATAAAGGTTAAATCCAGTCGCTCATCGTTATTGTGTCAGTGATGTTTGATCCTCTGTCAGGAACAAAACACCCGTTAATAACCCCGATCAGCTCCTCTGATCAGGTATTATCAATAACATGGACCCACAGTGTCCGACCATCAGGTTTCTCTGTGAGGAGTTTAGTATTTGGTGGTCAATAATCACCACCAGCACACTGAATGTAAAATAAACCCATGTTTCATTACTGATGAAACTATATCACAGCAGGGGTCAGAGGTCAAGTGCCACCCTAGTGTCTTAGTATTTACTGACAGGTCAGAGTTGAATTGTGAGTAAATATAAAGTCCTTTATTGTTATTGTACGTGTACAACATTATGGACCAAGTCTATAAATGCATATCTGGTGTCTGCAGCACTGCCTCAGCTCTCCGTCCCCCTCACTCTTCTTCTTCTGTGGTGGTTCTTCAGGCCGCCACGATGATGCGTAAAGACATCAACAAGCCGAAGGGGAAGACGTCGGCGTACGCCTTCTTCGTGCAGACGTGTCGAGAGGAGCACCGCAAGAAGAACCCCGAGCAGTCGGTCAACTTCGCCGAGTTCTCCAAGAAGTGCTCCGAGAGGTGGAAGGTGAGGGGGAGGGGCTGCAGGTACCTGGTCACATGACCACCTGACCCATCAGTGTGTGAGTAACAGCTCACCTACCTGTGTTCAGCTGTCCTATCAGGACACAGTAAGCTGCAGCTCCAGCTGTTTGACTGGTTATAGTGGGAGCAATAAAAAGTTGTCATGGTGTTCCTGTGCAGCAGCTCCAGTCAGACTTACAGTGTGAACTCATTCAAACCTTTGGCAGGTTAACAGGCTGTGTGAGCAGAGTCGATGTTCTGTGTGCGCCTCGAGCCTCACAGCACAAACACTCTAAACTGCAGAGGAGCACAGGGTGAATAAAACCACAGCTCAGTGTTCAGGACTGACGTTCACTCTGAGGCAGCAGAAACAGCTGCTTACAGGCAGCACAGACTCAGAGGATCCTCCTGCTTCACACTGAGCTGTGCAGGACTCACCTGCACAGGTGGATCAGCCTCTGACCTGTTTGTTACGTGTCACATACACGGCCGACACACAGAGGTGAATGGGTGGAGTCATCACGAGAGCTGCAGGCCACAGCAGAGCTGCTCGTGATGTCACACGTGTCGCTGTGACATCACGAGCAGCTCCAGCATCACTGCTGTGCTCTTCATCACCCAGCATCAGTGTTGGTCAAGTCACTGGAAAAAAGTAACTAATTACTGATTACTTCCCCAAAAAAGTGATCCTGTTACTTTACTGATTACTTATTTTCAAAAGTAATTAATTACTTAGTTACTTTTTAAAACACGATTTACAACCTGAAGAGGTGATAAAGCGATAGATCTTTCAGCCCAATTCTACTTTTTCTACATTATCCATCATACAAAATGTAATCAAAGGGAAAAGTCTCTTTTTAACTTGTTTTATTTGTTTTAATCTTTTAACTTTATGCATCAAGCAAAAATTTAATTATCTGCAACATTCTCTGACTGGAAGAAATTAGTTTAACATTTAAACCTATTTTCTGCACATTCCAGCACATAAAATAAAATATTTTTTGTGTTTACACTCAGTCTTTCAAATAGATGCAAGTAAAACACAGCAGAAAATAAATAAAGTCAAAGACTCAGCGGTCCTGTTGCTCTATTTTCACCTGTAAAGCAGGAGTGGGGCAGGCGGAGGTTTACCCTGGTGCAGGTGTGCCGCGGTCAGTGGAAGGATATGGCAGCTCTGTGAGTTTCCCATCACGTCATAGCTACTCGGTGCTTGTTGGAAGTTTAGGGGTTTTTTTGCTGTAAAAAGAAGTTTTCTTCCCACGCACAGCGGACACTAATGTTTTTGTCACTTTTTATGGAATCAAACTCAAAGTAAGGTCAGTACTTCCACGCTTTAAACGCTGCACGCTCATACTCTCTCTGCACTCGATATATGATCCATTGTTGATCTGCACACAGCTGTTGTCACGAACGTCGCACTCGCTTACGTCACTGTCGTGAGACATTCTCGCAAAAAATCACGGTTTTAGTAACGCAGCGTTTCTACGGGAAAGTAACGGTAATCTGATTACCGTTTTTGCAATAGTAATCCCTTACTGTACTCGTTACTTGAAAAAAGTAATCGGATTACCGCGTTACTGCCCATCTCTGCTCAGTACAAGAGCTCAGACCTCTCCACACGGTCACAGCATCATGAGTACCCACTGTAACATGACAGGCAGGACAATTACAGGAAATGAAACAATGAAATGTGAATAAGCTCTAATCCATCAGAACACATGCACGGCGTGGTGAACGCACTGGTTCTTACGGAGCTCTCTTCTGCTCAGTCTGGGCACTCAGCACAGTCAGTCTGTCAGCAGAGCAGTGATGTGACCGGTTATGAATCAGCTGCTGTGTGTGTGTAAATGTGTTTAGTGGCAGCTGGTGGACTGTAACGTGCTGCTACTACCAGGAGGTGGCAGCAGTGCACACAGCAGCTGTTTGAGGAGCACGTAGAAGAACATGTTGATGTCTGAGAGCAGGGCTGTGTTTCAAAACTCCATCCTGTCTCCTCATCGAGGTCACAAGTGGATTTGGAGTTAGGAGAGGGCAGAGGATGAGTCAGAGGATCTACAAAATGCTGGTCCTACCCAGGGCGGGTTACGACAAAACCATTTTAACCATGGTTAAAATGGTTTTGTCGTAACCATCGAGTACAGGTTGTCGTGGCCATATTAAGCTGTATGAATGTCTGTGAGTGGTTTTTTCTCCCACACCTTTGAATGCATCATTAATCCCCCCTCCACATGGAAAACTGCGCTGAGCGTGCGTGTTTACACTACCAGACAGGGAAAGGCGACAGCGGCAGATTCAGACTCACTGCTGGTTTCACAAAGAGGACGTCCAAGAAAATGCAGTAACCTGCAAAACTACAACAGGTAACGTGACCACAGATTTATTCCACCAGCTGAAAGTCATCCTCTGTTTTAAACCACGTAACTGCTCCTTTAGCTGTGTGTTGTTTTAGCTGCTTGGTGGTTTCTATGAGCTTTAGCTGCTGTGGATGCCACACGTGCCGATATTTACATGAACTTGAATTCAAGGAGTCTTAAACTGCAGCTCGCCCATCAAGACATATCGTGATATTTACATCGTGTTTCATGATGGAGCCAAAGATATCACAACATTAGACTTTCCTCAGTGTGTCCTAATCTGTTGTTTTATGCAGCCTGTGAAATCTAAGGTTTTAATGTTAAAGAGGGAGATTGGAGTCAAATCCACTGATGCTTGCAGCTTGTTTCCATGTTAACAAGCTGGTGGATTTACAGCAGAGGCTCAGAGTCAGTTTGAGAGAGCGTCACTTTCAGGAGGAGAAGATTTCCACGTGTGATTAAAGCGTCTGGTGCACAGTTTACTGCACAAACCCCAGCAGTGAAATACTGCAGTGTGCTGTGCTGCTGCTGCTGCTGGGACACAGGTGTGTCAGAGCTCTGTCCTCACACAGAGTCACTCATTGCTCCTCTGTAATGATGGAAAGGAGTTCTCAGCAGTGACACAGAGCCACAGCCTGTTAGTGTCCATCCCCACTTATCAGGGGCCGGGTCGCCCAGACCTCCATGTCCCCAGCCACCCCCTCCAGCTTGTCCGGGGGAACACCAAGAGTCCCCAGGTGGAGCCCTCAAGCACCCCACCATGGGTTGCTGAGAATGTACGTTGAGGCGAGCCTGACTATATATATCTGCTACCTCTGAACTTAACGCACTAATTAAGGTCCTTCCCCACCAGACAGGTGACCATGTCCTAATGCTGGTTTTGGTAACTGGGGATCGGTCTGCCAGGGTCTCTGCCCTTGGCTGCTGCACAGCCCGTAAAAGGTCCCCGGTAACCCTGTTCCCTAGTTCTTACACTCATAGGGGTTTTTGAATCACTCTGACCCTCACCCAGGACAAAATCTGCCACGGGAGACCCTACCAGGGGACAAAAAGCCCCGACAGCATAGCCCCTGGGATCCCTCTCAAACACCTCCACCACAATAAGGTAGCGATTCACAGAGGGGCTCGTTAGTGTGATGGATCAGTTAAAGTCATGAGTCACAGACACACAGTTACAGCCTCTCACCCAACAGATAACCATGAGCTCTCCTCTGACAAACCCTGACTCCACCTGAGCCTCCATCCTCAGGACCGTTTGCTCAGGGCCCAGAGGTTTGGGACAGAACAACATCTGGATGCATGTGTGAAACGTGCAGTTGTGAGCATCAGTCAGCACGGTCAGTGTGAGCTGAGATCACATGTTCTTCTTCACTGGATGAAGGAGCTCAGAGGAGCTCAGGGCCTCACGGAGGGCTGAGGAGGTCTGCGAGCAGCTAACAGTAGTGTGTGTGTGTGTGTGTGTGTGTGTGTGTGTGTGTGTGTGTGTGTGTGTGTGTGTGTGTGGAGGTGTAAACTGTCAGGGACAGGAAACAGTTCAACCCTTAATGTAAGAGACTGGCTCCACAGAACAATGATCACTTCCTGTGTGCTGGACTCGTACATCATGTGAGCACTTTAGTTGAACACATCTGGTCAGGTTTGAGGAACTCACGCTCTGCTGTTACTAAACTCTAAAGACTGTGTGCAGGTCACATGACTGGATTATTCCTGTGTTTCATTCCAGTGTAGACAAAGCTCTGAGACAGGGACTGATAACAGCTGTAACATCTGCAGCACAGATCCACTGCAGCTCAGGTCAAACCCTGAGACAGATGTGTGCAGCTGTGGTTGAAGCAGATAGGTGCAGCTGCTCTTACCTGCTGATGGAAGCATCTGGATTCCAGCTGTGTTCAACTGGTCCCAGCAGGAAAACTGGTCCTCTCCCTGAATCGATTCTGTATTATTCTGCATTGTTTTCTGTAAGTGTGACCCCGGGAGTTCAAAGGTCAGAGGTCACACACTGACTGTCTGCTCTCTGCCTCCAGGCTCTGTCTCCCAGTGATAAGAAGTGTTTCGAGGACATGGCCAAAGCTGACAAGGTGCGCTACAACCGTGAGATGAAAGACTACGTCCCCCCCAAAGGCTTCGGAAAGAGGGGCCGCAAGAGGAAAGACCCCAACGCCCCCAAAAGACCCCCGTAAGACCCCAAACACACTCTGAAGGTCCAGGTAGCACCTGACACACCTCATGTACTGATGTAAGACCCCAAACACACTGAGTCTGTGGTTTGAGTGTGCCAGCAGGGGGCAGCACAGGGCTGCTCATGTTTGAGTTCAAACACAGAGGCAGATCCTGGATCAGCTCTAGCCTGTCTGTCTGCAGGTCTGCGTTCTTCGTGTTCTGCAGCGAGTACCGTCCCAGTGTGAAGCAGCAGTATCCTGGGCTGTCTATAGGAGACTGTGCCAAGAAGCTGGGAGAGATGTGGAGCAAGCTGTCGCAGTCTGAGAAGCTGCCGTACGAGGAGAAGGCCCAGAAGCTACGAGAGAAATACGACCGGGTGAGGCTCAGTCACACAGACAGAGGGTAGAAACCAGTCACAGTGTGTCCTGATACAGGCAGGTATGAAGGGTGTGACGAGCTCAGAGTACATCTGGTCCTCAGAAACATCAGCCTCTGTTCTCCTCTGTACTGCACGGTTCCTCTAATCTGTGCAAAAACACATTTTCTGCACACGATACTTTAACATGCTTGAATAGTTTTAAATTACATTAGCTGCTTTTGTCAGCTGTTTGGAGACTGGAGGGTCAAATGTCCAATCATGTTCGAGCCCTGATGTCAGCTCTGCAGGTGAGGCTGAGGAGCAGGAAATATGTACCCATGTTAAAGGGTCACATATAGTTTGAGCTGTGGGTGATCTTCAACACATAACTGACACGTTCCAGCAGGTTTTAGATAAACTGAGTGTTCATCTGATTTCCTCTTTATTTCAGGCTTCTAGCATTTTCTGTGTGGTACGAACATTCAAAGGAGCGTTGTGTATTTTAATATTTCACCACCAGGTGGCAGTGAAACCGATTCATAGACTGAGGTGCTCCAGGTCCAGCCTTCAGTCTGATGCTGCTGTTGAGCAGATGGGTCCTTTATCCATACAGTTAGACTTCAAACAGACAAATAAATAAATACATGGAGACGTGTAAAACATTCAACTTTACTGAGCGCGTGCACTGAGCTCTCTGTCAGGCTTTTATTTTGTAATCCTTTACTGAGCGCGTGCACTGAGCTCTCTGTCAGGCTTTTATTTTGTAATCATTTACTGAGCGCGTGCACTGAGCTCTCTGTCAGGCTTTTATTTTGTAATCATTTACTGAGCGCGTGCACTGAGCTCTCTGTCAGGCTTTTATTTTGTAATCATTTACTGAGCGCGTGCACTGAGCTCTCTGTCAGGCTTTTATTTTGTAATCCTTTAGTGAGTGTGTTGCCACAGAGGATAAACTGCTTCCTGTGTGTTTCAGGACATGGTGGCGTACCGCGGCGGCGGCACGTATGCCAGGAACCCCAGCTCTTCAGCTCAGGGAGGAGAGGAGGAGGACGAGGATGAGGGCGAGGATGAAGAGGAGGAGGAGGACGATGACGAGTAGAGATGAAGAGCTGCAGCTGGGAGAGAGAGTGTTAGAGAGAGAGTGAAACAGGTGTGTGTGTTTCAGAGTGCAGGTCAGGGGGCGGAGCCTCACAGCAGGTGTGTCTACGTTTCAGAGACTTCCTGTTCCTCTGTTAGGGTGTGTTTCTAAACACCGTCCCCCTCTGATAGAAACAAGGTTCCACCTGACAGGAAGCACACTAACACTTCCTGCTGCAGCTGATGGCAGGGACAGAAGAAGAAGAGGTCAGAGGTTAACAGCTGCTTGTGTATAGATCACATGACTCCATCAGGTGAGTCTGACAGCATCACCTGGGTACAGACGTTTATTTAAACAGCCTCAGCCTGGCTCACAGGTCACATGACCACAGGAGTCATGTGACTGAGTGTCGGTGCTGGTGACACAGAGGGAGGCGGAGTGCTCTGAAACACACACACCCGACCACAGAGAGTGTGTGTGTGTCACTGTGTGTGTGAGAACAGGGTGTGTGTGTCTTTACAGTAACGTGTGTGTGTGAGGTCATCAGATGTTAAACTGTCCCACAGCAGAGGACAGTACAGTAACCCCCCTCCTCTCACTGTTACCATGGTTACCCCTGCACCCTCCACCCCTCCTGTGTGTTACCATGGAAACCCCCCGCCCCCTTCAGCATCATGTTGTTTTTATGTTGTGGACGTTTTTGTTCTTCGTTCACTGTCAGAGTAGAAACTTCAACTTTTATAATAAAACAACCACCTGAGGGAAAAGCCCACCCGGAGTCTGTGCTTACTCGCCGCCGCCCACCTCACACACACCACACACCACACCACACACACACACACACACACACCTGTGATCTGTGAACATGCAGCCAGGTCTCTTCAGCAGGATAAACCCTCATCCTCACTGTTTGTGAGAGACTCACGCAGCGCCCTGACTGCTGGGAACAGCCTGTCCTGCAGATGTTACGTCATGACTCCAGAGGTTAGACCCATCACAGTGCTGCTACTAAATATTGTCAAGTCCCTTTTTCATTAGCACCTGCTCAGATCGACTTGCCTCAACTCGACTTGGGGTGACAGATTTTGCGTTACAATCGAGTACTACCTAATGTACGTGGCCGTCGTCATAGCAATGCGGCCGAGCGTGACGTAGTTAATACGGGACACAAACACCACAACAAAGGTGGATGTCGAGGCGATGATATAAAATCTTCAGAGCCAGCCCTGCTCTGATATCCTTAAGACATTCTGACACAGGCCTGAGGGGTCATTCTGGTTAAATGGCAGGTAATAAAATGGCAATAAATACCAAAAGCAAGGGCCTGAGGATGGACCCTTGAGGTACCCCACACGGGAGTGGGACAGATAAGTTTATCAACAGAGACAAACCTCTGTCAGACAGATGTGGCTTCAGTCACTGAGGCAGCTCCTCTAATGACAGAAATCCTGATGTACTGTCAGAATCTGCTGTGGCATCTAAAAGGAGTCAGTGGTTAATAAAAACAAGTGCAAACTGTGCTGTGAGTACTTTAAACCTGACTGAAATACCTCAACAACACTGAGTTTGAAGAAAACAGGGTTGGTTAACTCTTTACCTCAGCTGGTAAACACACTGATGATTTAAACTAGTGTTGGTCTTATCAACAGATCACATGACGTCTGTGTTTTAGCCTATACAGTTAAGGTTTCTGTCCTTATTTAGTTGAATAGTTACTGTTAAAGTTATGAGTCCCTCCTACAGGTAATACCTGCAGGAACTGCACCTTGTTTCTCACACCTACAGCTGACTGCCTTCAGTGTGGACGTCCTTTCTTTATACGGTGTTCATCACTGAGTCCGTGACTTTCCACGGGGTCCTTTTGTCCTGTATTTGTGTTTCGTTCTGAGAGAAATGATCAGCTGTAACATCCTCGGTACACCTCCATCACCAGCTGTTTGACCTGCAGCTGGAGCGAGCAGAGCCAACAAACTAACAGTGAGCCCATGTGAGGTGCACTCCACATGGAGCAGGTCATCTGAACAGAAGGTTGGTGGTTTGATTCCTGCCTGCATGTCAAACAGAGGGAATGTTAGAAAGCTCTTGCGTGTTGTGTGTGAGGCATGTTGTAAACAGTGCTCTGATTGGTCGAGTAGGACAGTGCTGTACCAGTCCATGCTGAGAGGCAGGTGTAGCACATATTAATGCCATATGACATCCATATGAAGCGTGTGCAGTAGCATCACTCTATGGGAGCATTTTACTTTGGAATAATCTGTTCAAAGGTCCCTGCAGCTCACTGACATGCATCACAACAAGCTGACCTCTGCATCCACCAGCGTGAGCAGCAGGCCTGTCAGTATAATTCCTCTGTTATTGGTCGTGATGGTCTTTTAAAGCAGCGGTCCCCGGGCCTCGGACCGGTACCGGGCCGCGAGAGTTGAGGCTCAGGTGTGAAATGTCTGGTTTTCAGGGTTTTTAATCGGTTTTCAGCGTTATTTCATTATCGTTTTTATCATTAACTCGGTTTTCCTGGGTCTTTTCACGTGTGTTATGAATAAATCTTTTTTTTTCGGTACCGGTACTAGTTTTATTTTGTTGTATTTTTTTGTGTTGACACCTTAAAGGCCGGTCCGTGAAAATATTGTCGGGCATAAACCGGTCCGTGGCGCAAAAAAGGTTGGAGACCGCTGCTCTAGAGGATGAGACGTACAACAGTCAGTTAGACAGTGATTGTTTGTAAGTGCGGTGCAGGTGTGATGTTGGCAGTCTCCCAGGATTGTTGTTCCCGCCTCTTTACTTTCTGTTTTTGTTCCTTTGTAAGGTAAAGACCCTACAAAGTAGGGCTGCTCAATTAATCGAATTTTAATCACGATTACGATCTGGGCTTTCAACGATCATTAAAATTGACTGAGACGATTATTAGCCCCTCCCTCGTGCTTTACTCTCACGCTGCTCCGTGTGGCAAATCGAGCGCACCTCTCAGCATTTCGAACACGCATCACAACAATTAAGAGGACCCGAGGGAAGCTCGGAAAGCTAAGCAGAAGTTATTTGGAGAGGAGAGTGACTGCTGTTGAAAAGAGAGGTAAAAACCTTCAGTGGTGTGGAAACATTATGGGTTGGCAGAGTCAGACGTGGATCAAGTAGACACAGTGTGTAAACTTTGCTACGATGTAGTAGCTGCACCACAGAGCAACACTACAAAGTTCACTAAACACAGATGTTTACTTTTTTCATTTATTTCTTATATTGCAAACATTTGCACTGTTATCAGCAGTGTTGGTCAAGTTACTTGAAAAAAGTAATCAGTAACTAATTACTGATTACTTCCCCCAAAAAGTAATCCCGTTACTTTACTGATTACTTATTCTCAAAAGTAATTAATTACTTAGTTACTTTTTAAAAACACGATTTACAACCTGAAGAGGTGATAAAACGATAGATCTTTCAGCCCAATTCTACTTTTTCTGCATAATCCATCATACAAAATGTAATCAAATGGAAAAGTATCTTTGTAAAACTTGTTTTATTAGTTTTAATCTTTTAACTTTATGCATCAAGCAAAAATGTAATTATATGCAACCAAGGGCGTAGATTTGGTTTTGGCGTTGGGGGGGACGGATGATTCAACCACCGAACCCTGCCCTCTTTCTTTTTTTTTTTTCCTTTTCGTCTTTGCTTCTTGATAAAAAAGGAGAAATATACCTGCCTACTTATGCTATTCTACATGCTTTAAACCATTTAAAATTACAATTCATAGTTTTACATGTGAATTATATAATGTTAAATTACTGTTAAACAAATGACTGACTAAGTATTTTAGGCTTTAGTTTACTTCAGCCATATTCCATATAAATCAGGTATCATACAAAAATAAAAATAGAGTCATGACAATAAAAGAATATGACTTTAAGGACTTAACAACATTACTTGAGTTATAGTACACCAACATCTCTGACACATCAGCACTAAGGGAACACTGAATGACCTGGTGGTTTTTGTCCATAAAACTACTCGTCTAAGATTACCACAAAGTAACAGATCTCTTAGCAAAATTATGCAACAGTTTAGGCACTACTGCCCCGATCAACTGATGTTTTATTCTAAACATGAACTACTGTTACAGCAACAGACATGGACTACATGGGGGCAGGGATAGCTCAGTAGGTAGAGTGGTGGTCCCATGATCGGAAGGTCGGGGGTTCGACTCCACTGAACGGCTACCCTGAGGTACCCCTGAGCAAGGTACCGTCCCTACACACTGCTCCCCGGGCGTTGCATTGGTGGCTGCCCACTGCTTCACTGAGTGAATGGGTTAAATGCAGAGGAACTATTTCCCTATGGGGACTAACATGCACACTTTACTTTACTTTACACTTATGCCCCACACTACAACCAATGTTCACTATGTGAAGCAGCCAAACACATGCCTGCTCCTCTCGTTAACTGAGATAAACTGCTGGCATATTTGTTTTACATCTATACAGGGAGTGCAGAATTATTAGGCAAGTTGTATTTTTGAGGAATAATTTTATTATTGAACAACAACCAAAGAACTCATTAATATCAAAGCTGAATGTTTTTGGAAGTAGTTTTTAGTTTGTTTTTAGTTTCAGCTATTTTAGGGGGATATCTGTGTGTGCAGGTGACTATTACTGTGCAGAATTATTAGGCAACTTGACAAAAAACAAATATATACCCATTTCAATGATTTATTTTTACCAGTGAAACCAATATAACATCTCCACATTCACAAATATACATTTCTGACATTTAAAAACAAAAACAAATCAGCGACCAATATAGCCACCTTTCTTTGCAAGGACACTCAAAAGCCTGCCATCCATGGATTCTGTCAGTGTTTTGATCTGTTCACCATCAACATTGCGTGCAGCAGCAACCACAGCCTCCCAGACACTGTTCAGAGAGGTGTACTGTTTTCCCTCCTTGTAAATCTCACATTTGATGATGGACCACAGGTTCTCAATGGGGTTCAGATCAGGTGAACAAGGAGGCCATGTCATTAGTTTTTCTTCTTTTATACCCTTTCTTGCAGCCACGCTGTGGAGTACTTGGACGCGTGTGATGGAGCATTGTCCTGCATGAAAATCATGTTTTTCTTGAAGGATGCAGACTTCTTCCTGTGTACCACTGCTTGAAGAAGGTGTCTTCCAGAAACTGGCAGTAGGACTGGGAGTTGAGCTTGACTCCATCCTCAACCCGAAAAGGCCCCACAAGCTCATCTTTGATGATACCAGCCCAAACCAGTACTCCACCTCCACCTTGCTGGCGTCTGAGTCGGACTGGAGCTCTCTGCCTTTACCATCCAGCCACGGCCCATCCATCTGGCCATCAGACTCACTCTCATTTCATCAGTGGTTGTGAGTGGGGTTCAGTCCATGTTATTATTGTGTTTGAGGAATGCTCCACAAATGGCGCTACAACATGTAAAAATTAATATAAGCTCTGCAGACTTGGTTCTATGGTAGTCTTAAAGGTTAAATAATATCGTCAGATAATCGAGATCTCATTTCAGTGAAATAATCGTGATTATCATTTTGGCATAATCGAGCAGCCTACTACAAAGGAACAAAGAAAACAGACAAGTTGAATCTCTGGCTATGATGTCCTGAGATAATGGTTTGATGGGAGCGCTCCATGGTGCAGATCGGTGAGTGGGAATTTCCTCCCCAGCTTTTAAAGTGAGCCCAGTCTGTGGTTATGGAGTCACGCATTTACACTTGGTGCTTTCTCGGAGTTCAGTGCTCTCCAGATTGTTGGGGTGTTCCA